AACAATTCATCCTGTTCATAACATGAGGTACTATACTGTACATACTCGTGTGTAGGTCACAGTTACAAGACTAGATTTTTTGGCCAAAGTATAAGTTCTTATTTTCATCTGCAATATTTTTAAGAGGTTGACAGGTCAGATGTTCTCAACATAACACCAGCTAAACACTGCAGCAGTGTTGCTAACAGGCAATCACTCTAATACTTCCAGACCAGATGTTACAAAGACAACACCTGAGCAATGCAATGTTGCCTTAGCAGTCACTGTTGCCAGGATACCAGATCACTGCAGTGTTGTTATATTAGACAGTTACTAATTCAAGTATTTATTTCAAAATTACTGAACATACATAAACACAAACAATAATCTGAAGTCCCATAAAATGCACAATATTTCAGGGAACACTTGATGACTGCAGTGTTGCTTTGTCAGACACTGATGCCAGGATAACACTTGATGACTGGTGTTGCTATGTCAGACACTGCTCCAGGACAACACCTGATGACTGCAGTGTTGCTATGTCAGACACTGATGCCAGGACAACACCTGATGACTGCAGTGTTGCTATATCAGACACTGATCCAGGACAACACCTGATGACTGCAGTGTTGCTATGTCAGACACTGATCCAGGACAACACCTGATGACTGCAAGTTTGATACTATTCCTGCACTCAAAACAAACATTATAACAGCATAGATATTCTAAACTGGCTAATGTACAGTACTCCCAGATAATACCGAGTACAGTATGAATTCTTAAATTTTTGTTCTTCACTCCTTAAAAAATTAGGGTCTATTTATATAAGACATACATGAAAAAAAGTGTTAAGTTATATGCAGAGCTATACACCAGATCAGCCTATACTTGAGCATGTTTGAAAGCTATTTAAGCAAGGAGAGCAGGGGAAAAAGCCTTAATCTGAGCCTAGCAATTTTAGAAGAGCTGACATATTGTGCCCAGTCGTGTGAAGATGCCTTAACTGCACTTTGAGAATATGACTAAAACAAAAAAGTTGTACAGGAATACAAGAAAATAATTATAAGGATTAAGTCATGACAAATGAGCCATGAAGTAGGTGTTTATGCCACAAATGAATCTAGGCCAATGCTAAATAAATAACATTCAAAATAATTTTCATGGAAAGAACAAAACAAACATTGTCATACTCAAGAAAACTATACAACTTTCACACTGACTTACACACCAGAATTAACTTTGCTTATTCTTTGATAAATAATGAAACATCAAATTTTTACATTTTTTCTTCCCAAAAATTTCAGAGAGAGTTCCAGTGTTTCTTAATAATTACCCTCCAAGAGCTCAACTAGAGTAATGTGGAGTGCCCTTCCATAACTCTTCCACTCTCTAGCTGCAAGTAATCTACAAAGAAATCTTAACTTCTTGTTACAGGGAAGTTTGGGAAACCTCCTATGCAGTGTATGAACATCCGTATCTAACCTCCCACACAACGTGCACAAATTATGGCCACTGAAAAATCAGACTATTAGGTCGAAAGTGCCCAACATATTTTCACTGCTACATATACTGTATTCACACAGAGGTCTCCTCAAAGCTTTTCATGTGGCATTCTTTACTAAAAATAACAATTTTGATTTGCAGTATAATGCAGCACTTGCCACTGGACTGATTATTAAAGAATTTGTACAATTTCATCATAATCTAGTTTAAACACTACGAGTATTGATGTGGAATATAGCGAGAAGCAATATATTAATTTTTTTAAGTCAAAATAGGCAGAATAATGTGAGCCCGTAGAGAATAAAAAGTCACATTACTGTGGCTGGGACAATACACAAATAACCCGCATTTAGGAGATCGAAGTTGGTCCAAGTCCAACTGTGATGTCATAAATAACCTCCTCTTAGAGCAGATTATTTGTGTAGTGAGTCAGTGGATCAGAAGATTATATACCAGGTGTTTGTAATTAAGAGAAGCACAGGATAGATACAAACATTACAGTCTTGAGTCTCCCACTTACCTTGGTGGAGGTACCGATGCGATGCTCTTACCACTTGGAAAGAAAAAAGCAAAGAAATGCAGGTTATAGCTCTCAGTTCCCAGTTAGTAAGTCCAATAAGATGCTCATAACAGATAAGCATATAATACAGTGTATAAGCAGTATATGTATTTGTACTGTATCTACATACACTGATGTTTATACATACATATACATACACCACTAAGTTATGATAATTAATGTTAGTAAAAAAGTAACTGGCTAAAATTTGAAATATAGTAAGTGGTTTCAGTGAATACAGAGTGCAGGTTAGCACACAGGCACCCAGAAATTTCATTCTTCACATTTAGCCATTAATTACATAAATAGGAAAGAACAAGGTGATGAGAGTAACAAAAAGTCTAAGCAATAATATGTTGAATACCATATTTGAGGAAGGGGTGTGGAGGAAGTGAATGTATTCAGATATTTGGGATTAGACATGTTAGCAGATGGGTCTATGTATGATGAGATGAACCATACAGATGCCTTAACCAGATGTTAAGGCATCTGTGTAAAGAAATTTTAATTATGGAGATAAAATAGGGAATATATCAGATATATAACCTTCTTTTTGGGTCTCCATGCCTCGGTGGGAGACAGCCGACTTGTTCAAGAAAAACAAAAATAATGAGTGTAATAATACCAACACTTTCATGGGTGTGAGGCATGGGTTTTAAACACTGTAGTGAGGAGGCAATTAAAAGCAATGGAGATGTCATGTTTGAGAGCAATGTATGGTGTGAATAGCCTGTAGAGAGCTCAAAGTGTAGAAATTAAAAGATAATATGGGATCACCAAGGGTATAATTCAGGGAGATGAGGGGTAGGAGTTCAGGTTGTCCCAAAAATGGGTGGAAGGAGGGGGTAAAAGAGGTTTTGAGTTACATGAACTTGAGCATCCAGCAGGCTTGTGCAAGTGTGTTACGCAAGAATAAATGGAGAAAAGTGTTTTTTAACTGAAATGCTGTTGGCATGTGTGCAAGGTAAGTTTTATGAAAGGACTAAAGAAAACCTAGTTAACCAACCTGAGGCCTGGAGCTGGAAAGGGTAGTGCCTGAACTCTGAAGGAGAGGTGGGAATGTTGCAGTTGGAGGGTCATCTGAAATGCTATGTCAGTATACTTCTGGCAAGACAGTGCTTGAATGAGTGATTGTAAGTTTTTTTTTTTTTTTTTTTTTTGGGGGGGGGGTCGGGGGGGGGTCGGGGGGGGTATGTAAACATTAGGGGAAACAGCTGATACAGTAAAAAAAAATTAATGGCCGTCTACCCAAAACAATAACGTAACATTCAAAGTACGTACTTCATATTCATACACTTCGAAAAATCAATTCAAGCATTTCTTTCAAGTGTTAAGAATGAGTCAAACTTCAGCAACATCAAAGATTATTTTCCTTAATTTTGCTTGAGCAATTCCCAAAATTCAAATTCAAATATACGAGTTACAATGGACACCTGGCACTGCTGAATAAATATAAAAAAAAAACACTACTACCTGCACCATTATTCTAATTCAGCAGTAAAAAAAAAATTATAATCAAAGACAACACAAACAGAAACAAATACAGCAGTTAGAATGAACATCAAGTCTTGCCATAAATTGAAAATTTGTACCACACGTGTACAAATTAAAAGAGCTAAAATTACCCTCCCCATCATCTCACTTCCACCACCAGCACCACCTACCACCACCACCACCACCACCACCACCACCACCACCTGCACCTTAGCCTTGATCAGAATATTCAATGTGTAGGATTACAAAAATATATTCTGTGTGGGATTACAAAATATATTCAGCCTAATAAAACAGCTTGAATCACTACTACACAATTTTAGTCTTTTCTGTTTCACTGTGACTATTACCAACAACAAAACCCAATATTCTACATTGTGTACTGCATATATTTGTACAAGCTGTGTGATTTATAGAGCATTAGAACCATTTCAATATTCAGAGCTTGAAGCAGAAAAAGTTCCTGACATTAGATCAAATCCCTGCCATCACTAGTAGTGTTCTGTAATCTGAATAATTTGCCACTAGTGTTATTATGACCATGATATTTGTAATTTGACAGTAAATTAATTACAATATAAACAATATACAGTGGACCCCCGCTTTACGATCAGCTCCCAATGCGACCAATTATGTAAGTGTATTTATGTAAGTGCGTTTGTACGGTATGTTTGGGGGTCTGAAATGGACTAATCTAATCACAATATTCCTTATGGGAACAAATTCGTTCAGTACTGGCACCTGAACATACTTCTGGAATGAAATAATATCGTAAGGCGGTGTCCACTGTATTTTAAGTCAAATAGTTGCAGTTTAACCCATCTCCATAATTTGTCTGAAGTCACAGTAAATTTGGAAAAAAAATGACAAATCTCCCTGCTAATTAGACTGAAAATAGGTAATGGCACCTTTCAAGGCACTCAGCCTGTCCAAACCTTGCCACCAAGGTAACAGACCCAGCATCCTCAGTATTTTACACAGTACAGTACTATACTTATGTACTCTAAATGCTCAATATAACCCACATGGAGACAAAAAACACAGGAGGTTGGTTGATCTGTATATTTTGCCCCCCTTCTGGGATCCTCTTCTGGTGAGAGGAGACCAGAAGGGGGTCAAAGTATACAGATCAATCAACCTGTGTTTGTCTCCATGTGGGTTATTACTGAGCATTGACAAGTGTTCGTTACACTTTAATTATTCAGGTGCTTAATATTATGTAATTTTTACATAACAGCAATAATAACTATGAATGTGACATTTAATACAAAACAGAATCTTGACAAAAATAAATGAACAAAAAATGTTGAGAATTTCAACAGAATATGCAGGTTTCACATGAAATTATTTATACATATTTCAAATACATGTATACATATTTATTACATATTTCAAATTATTTATACATATTTCAAATAGGTTGGAGGGAGGGGGTAAAGGTGGTGTTGTGGGCGAGGGGTTTGGACTTCCAGCAAGCGTGCGTGAGCGTGTTAGATAGGAGTGAATGGAGACAAATGGTATTTGGGACCTAACGAGCTGTTGGAGTGTGAGCAGGGTAATATTTAGTGAAGGAATTCAGGGAAACCGGTTATTTTCATATAACCGGACTTGAGTCCTGGAAATGGGAAGTACGTACGTTGCCTGTACTCTAAAGGAGGGGTTTGAGATATTGGCAGTTTGGGAGGATATATTGTATATTTTTTATACGTATATACTTCTAAACTGTTGTATTCTGAGCACCTCTGCAAAAACAGTGATTATGTGTGAGTGAGGTGAAAGTGTTGAATGATGAAAGTATTTTCTTTTTGGGGATTTTCTTTCTTTTTGGGTCACCTGCCTCGGTGGGAGACGGCCGACTTGTTGAAAAAAAACAAAATTTCAAATAGAGTTAGAGCTAAAGAAGGAGCAGCATAATGTTGAAGGTAAGTTATGGCAGGAAAAGAGGGAATATAAATGTATAAATTCAAGGATTATGTGGTGTAAAGTAAGGGATGGATGTGAAAAGTGGGTTATAGTAAGTGTTTATGCACCTGGAGAAGAGAGAAGTGTAGAGGAGAGAGAGATTTTGGGAATTGTTGAGGGAGTGCATGGGGAGTTTCAAACCCAGAGAGGAGTACGTGTGGTTGGGGATCTCAATGCTAAAGTGGATAAAACTGTTGTGGAGGGAGTAGTAGGTAAATTTGGGGTGCCAGGGGTAAAAGAAAATGGGGAGCCTTTAATTGAGCTATGTGTAGAAAGAGGTTGGTAATAAGTAATACATATTTTATGAAAAAAGAGATAAGTATACAAGGTATGATATAGCATGTAATGAAAGTAGTTTGTTAGATTATGTATTGGTGGATAAGAGGTTGATGGGTAGGCTTCAGGATGTACATGTTTATAGAGGGGTAACTGATATGTCGGATCATTATTTAGTTGAAGCTACAGTTAGATTAAGAGGTAAATGGGACAAAAGGAAAATGGCAACAGTAAGTAAGAGAGAGGTGAAGGTGTATAAACTAAGGGAGGAGGAAGTTAGGGTGAGATATAAGCAACTATTGACAGAAAGGTGGAATAGTGCAAGTATGAGTAGTGGGGGGGGTTGAAGAGAGATGGAATAGTTTTAAAAATGAAGTATTAGAATGTGGGGCAGAAGTTTGTGGCTATAGGAAGATGGGTGCAGGTGGAAAGAGTGATTGGTGGAATGATGAAGTAAAGGGTGTGATAAAAGAGAAAAAGGTAGCTTATGGGAGGTTTTTACAAAGCAGGGGCTTGGACTTCCAGCAAGCGTGCATGAGCATATTAGATATGAATGAATGGAGACAAATGGTATTTGGGACCTGACAAGCTGTTGGAGTGTGAGCAAGGAAATATTTAGTGAAAGGATTCAGGGAAACCAGTTATTTTGATATAGCCGGGCTTGAGTCCTGGAAGGGGTTTGGGATATTGGCAGTTTGGAGGGATATGTTGTGAATCTTTATGCGTATATGCTTCTAGACTGTTGTATTCTGAGCACCTCTGCAAAAACAGTGATTATGTGCGAGGTGAAAGTGTTGAATGATGATGAAAGTATTTTCTTTTTGGGGATTTTCTTTCTTTTTGAGTCACCCTGCTTTAGAGGGAGACAGCCGACTTGCTAAAAAAAAAAAGTGTTATAAGAAGAGCAGAGTATATGGAGAGTAAAAGAAAGGTGAAGAGAGTGGTGAGAGAGTGCAAAAGGAGAGCAGATGATAGAGTGGGAGAGGCACTGTCAAGAAATTTTAATGAAAATAAGAAAAATTTTTGGAGATAAACAAGTTTAAAAAGCCTAAGGAAAGAATGGATATGTCAGTTAAAAACAGAGTAGAGGAGTTAGTTGATGGGGAGCTGGAGGCATTGGGCAGATGGCAGGAACATTTTGAGGAACTTTTAAAGGTCAATGAAGAAAGGGAGGCGGAAATTTCATGCACTGGCCGGGGAGGCATAACATCTTTTAGGAGTTAACAAGAGCAGGATATGAGTGTGGGGGAGGTGCGCGAGGC